TCTGGTTCTGCCAGCACCGTGATTTAATGATATAATATGTATAAACACAGTGAAGCGTACTAAAAACAGAAGCAGACTCTTGTGGGCCTACATATAGGTTGGTTTAGCTGATGTCTGTAAATACACCTAGCTGCATCACGAGCAGAGCAAGTGACATATCAGGCGTAATTAGAGGTACAAACACATACAGACACTCCCCGGGGGATTCACACCCACAAACACTGAAAGGCAGTGGTTACATAATATACAGATCAAATATTTACAAATCAATTTAAGTGGTGCAGCATCAGGACACTGGAAATATCAAGATCAGCTGAGGTAAACACGGAACATGAAAGCTCAGGTGATTTTCTTTGTTGATCCATTTATGCACAAATGAGTCCATATAATGAAGAATATCTATTCCTAATTAGAGCAGTTTGTTCTACTTGTCAGTGTGTCAGCAGTGTGGAGTGATTTTGTTAATATGACAGACAATGCCTGGCTGCTCTGTGTCACCTGACATTTCGTCTCTTTAACAACAGCAAATAGGGAGGCTGCTCGTGTTTGTGGAGCAACACTTCATACCTATTGCTTTGACATAGTGATGTTCATCAAAGTGTTTACCTCCTCCATATTACACAAAGCAGCTCTTATGGAGCTGTAGATGACGAGCTGAGAAGGCAGAGCAACGCCCCAGTAGTAAATACTATTGGATTTACCTAAGAACAGAACGTGCTGTCTGACTTAAAAAAATAAATAAATCTGATTTACTGGTGCCCTAAATCAGATTTTCTGGTGCTCTAATCCAGCCTGTATGTATTATGCAGCATGAAGTCTCCACATGTGCTAATATACTTTTCTATAAATCATTTTATATGCATCAATCCAGGTTTAAGTATCTCTGTGAACAACAGCACAGTGAAGCACATAGCGTACAATCATGCCACTAATTTTATTCTTATTCTCTTTTTTAATAATGTTCTTACTTGATTTATCATAATTTTTTAAAGAAAGAAAAACATCTTATTTGCAGTTACTTTCCTCACTAAATCCTCAAACCAAGGCTGAAAGACAAGTTTTATTTTGCCAGAGATTTGTGATTATTTTTGGAGATTAAATGCCTCGTCTTATATTGGAGTCTCAGATCACAGCTGATCATCCTATTTATGTTCACTGCGACAGCCTTGCACTTGCTTGTTTAGTCTGTGTTTGACTAATTTCTTGTTCTCTCCAGTTTTATCTTGGCTTGTCCTCTCAGGTTTATTTTCTCATTGGAGTCGCACTGTACAGCAGACTCTTTTAATTTAAGTGATACCAACCGATTAAAATAGAACAGAGTTGAAACTCAATTGTCCAAATGTGGAAATTTGTTTAAATTCTCACCTTGCTTCAGTGACATACAAGTGTACTGCAGGACACCGTTACTTTACAGTTAGGTGTGGTTACAGGTGCACCAGAGGACACTTCAATCAATGATGCTAAGTTTAGTTTGAGTCTCGTGTATTTCATATTTGCAGTTGTGGCCTGCCCAGTTAATGGATTTCTTTACAATTTTTTCCAACATTCCCTCATTTTTAGTCTAAAGAATGCAACGGCAGCGTGAGATGGAAAGAGGCAAAACATTTTCCTGAAATCTTCTATGAACCACTTACTATTTTTCTAATGCCACACGAATAAAGTGCATTAAAGGTATACTTCACCCCCCAAAATTACTTACTCACCCCGTGTTACATTGAATTTGTGAAGTATACTTTGTTTTTCTTGCACGCCTCCATGGTGTACAAAGAATCCAATAACAGAATCCAATAACCGAGAAAATTCTTGATGAATGGAAGTCATAAGGGGACCGTATTTTACACAAGCAAATTTATATCAAAACATCAGTTTACAAACTCTCACACAACTCATGCCGTATAACCCAAGTCTCATTTATCCAGTTGTATAATCAGTAGGCTACTTCCCAAACAGAGGAGCCTTTTCCAACGGGAAACTGAACACGGAAGCTGCTGGTCAACTGCTGCCTCTATCAGTGTTATTGTATGCTTTTGGTGAATCTGAACTAATGCTTTACAACATCAAAAACCACACAATAACACAAAAAAGAAACTGACTGAGGCTGATTCCTGTTTTTGTCAACGGCGGAGTCAATGGAGTCTGGCTTTGAAAAGAGCAGAGGTAAGTTTCACTTTCAGTTTAGGTCCTCCATTGGAAAGAGCTGTCTGTTTGGGAAGTTGAGCACTTGACTGGCTAAATGAGGCTTGAATTCTACTGCATGAGTTTGGTGAGAGTTTGTAAACGGATGTTTTGATATGATTTTTCTGTTGTATGCAGTCCCCTATGACTTCCATTCATCAAGAATTTACTACGTTACTGGATTCTTCATACACCAGGAAAACAAAGTTTTCTTCACAAATTCAACTAAATATGGGGTGAGTAACTCATTTTGGGGTGTGAAGTATTCCTTTAGTTTTGCCGTTGTTAAATGCGACCCCCTATGACTCCAGTTCATCTGGAACTTTCTCTGTTTTTAGAATCTCTGAAGTTTTTTTCATGAATTCACTTGCAGCAACTGCAGGGAGAATAAAGAGGAGAGAACTCTTCTGAGACCTGGGCGGTATACATTTTTTATACCTTCATACCTTCATGACATTTCACTGGGGTGTACGGTATATGTTGGTATTGTGTTAATTGTGACATGTATGACATTGTCTAGCCTATGTTGTGTATCCAATATGCAATTAACCTTAGACAAGTCTTGCTAGCTTTACCTCTGGCCAATAAAATAATGAACAGATAGGAAATAAGCTCCCTTCTTACTGAAGGTCTTGATGACAGTTATTGCCTCAGTGGATACCGACACATCAGTGGGCTGAACGGAGATGTTGAATAAAACCATGTGGCTAATGAACTGCTTCTGTAGTTGGAAGAAGTCATCTCAAGATAAAGTTATATGTGGCAATATTCCTAAACAGGGGCAGAGAGATTTCTCTTTTTACTAGTCCTGTAATATTATCCCCACCAGTTGCATTTGTCATCCTCAAATCAGCAACCTGTTCTACCTGTAGAGACTGACCTCTAGTGGCAGATGCTGTGCACTACATTGCCTCAGTGCAGCATATCTGCATATAGTTTACCAGAAAAAGGAGCATCTGTATTTTTGACTGTAGTGAAAATCATACTTTTGGGATTTCTAAATACACCCATGTACTGTAGTACCTTGGTACTGCCCAAGCCTACTTCTGATATTCAGCCCTTTGTCTTGCTGGCATTAATGACCACAGTGCTGACCTGACACCAGCTAATCAGCTCTCTCAGTGCCCTCAAACCAAACAAGTGTTCAGCATGTTTGTTCAGCTCTGACTCAGTCCTGAATCTGTGGCTTTTTTATTTGTTAATATGGAGAACAAGGACACTGGAGTGCACCTGTGTTTATTGTATCATGGTCAGGTCACAGGGCTGCTCCTCACTCCATGATTGGTCAGTCCTTTAAATAGAGGAATCTTTCTCAGTTTATTAGTTATTATTTGACAGTTACTCAATCACTGGTTTCATTAAACACTGGAATTTTGTGGCTTGTAGTGAGCCGGTTTCTTAAATAGAGCCTATTACACATTCCTCATACCATGTTGCTCAAGTCCTGTGAAAGTTATGTAACCACTCTGGCGACAAAATCAAATGGCAGCGGGTGGCTGAGAAAGATTTAATTTCTTCACAAACATTCAGCAACTACTCAGACAGTCTGTATTTTGTCTGTCAGAAACCTAAACCCAAACCTTTCAGGCTTCACCTATATGAAGAGATGCAATAAGAGTGGCCATCTGCAGGCATGTGGAGAAGGTGCTTTGCTTCAGACAGGAGTGGCATTGTAGCAGAGTTAAAACGCTGAGACAAACCCTTTAAAAATCAAAACCCCACACCCTCCTCATCCTTCCCCGCACGGAAACAGTGAATAAATAACATGCTGGCATGTTCAGCTTTCTCTGACCGGCGGGATAAACACTCAGTTGACTGTTTAATGTATTTCTGGTCTCTGTAAACGTCAGTTGCGCTCCCAGAGCGCCATATACACCTTGACCTTCTTCTCCATTCTGCTCACTCAGCCCCTCCAGCCACCTCACACTCTTCCTCCTCCTCCTCCTCCACCAACACTCCGGCTATCTCCTTCATGCCAACCCATGCCAAAGCTCAACTCTGCCCTGAGGCCAAATCCACCGCTTTTCACTGTCCAAATCCCTCTGCCATGCGAGTGAAATAACAGCAAGGCCCTGAAAATAGCACTGGAACTGCCCCTCTGTTTCCTCTACAATCTGCCTCCTTTCTCCTTCCCTCCCTACATCCATCATTCTCTATCTGTATTTTAGATACTGAATTCCCATTTCCCAGTGGCGGATCCTTCTATAGTTGACATAGCTGGCCACCTAGGTTGCCACCCAGAGCCATTTCCTCTGTTGTTTAATTATGATAATGTATCTCATACATGTTTTTTGCAGGCAGTTAAAAAACTTTTTAATGAGGTTTGTCTCTGTTATTGATGAATCTTTACAGGATCGAAGACGGATAGACAGTCTGAGCTTTTCATCGTAACTCTGACTGGTCACAGCATAACGCCACACAGCCCAATAAATCCAGCGATGTCAGTGGCATGAGCTTAGCCGCTGGATCCCCATGTACGTTCCCCCTCTGCATATACTCCACACATCTCTCTTCTTGTTTATCCCTCCTTGCACTCCCTGCTCCCTCCCTCTCTCAGCATAAATCTCTCATTCACAAATAGAGGCCAAAAGAGGCTCAGCTGATGTGATGAGATTATTTTTTTTCTGATTACAAATCAACCTCAGCTTAGATAGATAGAGAAAAAAAAACAAAACACAGCCGCTTCCCCTCCACCCCCCACTGTTACATCCTCTTCCCTCTCCTCCCCTCTCTGCTCTGGTGCCGTCCCTCTTCTCCAATAGCTCCACCTTCTTTTGGACCTTGGTCCCTCCCCTCCACCACCACCCACTTCTCTCCCTCACAGCCACATCTAAGGACGTGCTTCATTCACTCCAGCTGCACAGGTTGTAAAGGAAAGGGGGAAAGAGTGAGAGCAGGAGAAGTAGAGGAGAATATCAGCAACTGACTGGGTAGGGAAAGAAGACAGGAGGTGAAAAAGAGAGATCAGCTGATTGTTTTACTAAGAGAGGAAGGGAGTCAGGGTGAGAAGGAGTGAGGCAGGAGAGAGGAGACAAGTCTTCAGGAGTGGGACTACCCAGCAGTGCCAGGTTCCTCCAGGGAGGTTATAGTGATCTTCAGCAGCAAACCCTCCTCTCCACTGGGAGTCAGACCCCCAGGATCCAGAGCCATGGAGCCCTCTGTGTCGACAGAGGTCGAGGGGGAGCCCAAGGAAAGGAAGAAGATCCAATTTGCTGTATCGCCCGAGGTCGAGGGCGAGCCCAAGGAGAAGAAGAAGATCCAATTCGCTGTGTCGACCGAGGTGGAGGGGGAGCCAAAGGAGAGGAAGAAAATCCAATTTGCTGTGCCGGCCTCTGTGCCCACCAACCTGGACCCTCGGCAAGTGGAGATGGTGAGCAGGCGGTGGACAGATGGGTGTTTGACCCAGGGAAAAATCTATTTTGTGTTTCTGAGGATTCTGCTTTAGCTTCTCTGACTTGTTTTTGTGTTTAAATTTGAAGTGTTTCACAGCTGAAATTCCTTCCATCCGGTTATTCAAAGGGAGCATTGTGTAGCTGCACAACTAAGTGCTGCACCAGTACCGGCCACATTTCTTCACTTTAGAACATCTTCACTCTGCATCACCTTTTCGCTCTGCTCTGTTTCATTTCTGACACGCAGGGCTGGGTTTGTTTGATCTGTCTGCCACATGTTTGAGAAATTATGATGACATTTCCCTCTCTGGTTCCTCATGAGATTAGTGCCTTGCTGTCTCATCTTGACCTCTTTACCAATGTGACATTGGCACGAATCTCATTATCTTGCGTATGAAGCTCTTTTGTAACACAAAAAGCCCTTGACATTTTGTCGCTCACATTGCTGATACTGTTAATAATTACTTTTATTTGGTCTTCAGCTGCTTGTCACCCACTTTGCATGTGAGAGACCTGTGTCATCAGAGCTTTTGCTAGTACAATCCTTCAATCATGCTTTGCAACAGAAACCTCGTATGACTGACTCAGCTTGGCCTGTATCACTCTGTGCAAGGTTCATTTTTGACAGGGCAACTCAGATCTTTCTTTTTTGGCTCCAATGTTAGTGGCTCTTATTTTAGAGCAGGGGAAAGTGGGCCAAAGTAAAAAACGTTTGGTACCGAGGTAGATCGAGGCCAATGGCTCATCCCTCCTGAGATCTCGAAGGAGAGATGGAGTGGGAAAGCAAGAGACATGTGCTACATGAAGGAAAGCAAAGAGAGAAGGACACACAACCTAATCTCTGGGTTCACCTGTCTGGGGTCAGCTCCCTCAGTAACTGTCCTTGTTTCACAAATTGCATTAAAGAGGCTTTTCATGAGCTAAAGTGGCCTGAAGCTGCAATACTGATCATCATATACTCTCATAACAAGTTTGTTTGTTTGTGAGAGAGTGTGATGATTGCACTCTCCTTACACTACCAGCTTTTAAATGATCTCATCTCATGTTCTCATTCGAGACGCTCATGCTGAATTATAGACTAAATGTCTTGCCAAAATAGAAGTGTTTTGCAACGCTTCGCAAGACTTCCACATTTACACATAAAGACTTTCTCTCCTTCTCCTCCCTCTCTTATTCTCTCTATCTCTCGTGCCCTGTCATCACGCTCTGATCCCTATCATCTCTTCCAAGAAGCCACAGGATATCAATCTACCATATGTGAGCGACTCTGTCACATAAAAAAAATCTCTCACTTCCTTCTGTTTTGGGGAGGACCTTATTGCTCAATCACCTTATGGTCAAACAGTGATCAGCTATATTTAGTGCTCACTGGATGGCTCTCCTCCAGCAGGCCAGCCCTGGTCTTTACCTTCAGATAGGTTGTGTGTCAGCTTCTGTTCGGTACACCTGCTTATTCATACATCTACAGTATGTTGTGTAGATGTTTCAGTAACATAAATAGAAATATAAAGCCTTGGGTTGGTTGTTGATGATAGTCTATTTTGAGATTGTTTACAGGTGGATGAATGCTGATTGTTACAGCAAATGTGTTGAAGGGGGGTTTGGGAAACTGAAGGGCGTTCAGGAGAGGATGTGTGTATGTGTGCTTTAAAGCAGATAGCATCTACTCAGGGCTGTCTCCAGGGAGGTGTGGGTGGGCAGGAGTTACCGGTTAACGACACTCATTTCATTCCCTTCCCCTCCCACAGCAATTACTGTCGCCCACAAGTCCGTCTTTGCTAATGAGACCCAATGACTATACCATACTTCCAAACTTATTACACAACCGGTAACTCCTTCCTGTTCCTTCCGATGGCATTTAAAACCCCAAAACCGCTATCGACTGAACCGCCGGGGCCTTGTTACTATGGAGACGGGCTGCACAACTACGTGGCCCAAAGCTCCCCCACAGTCTGCATCTAAAAGGTCAACTTTAATGGACAGCTCTGTCTGTCTGATAGGTTGTTTACATTGGTGCTGTTACATGTTTGTGGATATGTATGTGTGAATGCTGTATGATGGGCTGGGTGTTGATGTGAGAGACGCTTCCATACCTCCTACACAAATGTTGCACATTGTGGGAGAAAACATCAGCTATTTGTACATGCCTCAAAGGTGTAAGATATTCTCACTGGACATTATTTACATGTTTGTGGATGCTTATACCGAGGGAATATGTATTTATGTCTGTGTGGTCTAACATAAAAACACAAATAATGACAAAAAACTCTTAAACCCTTCTTATTTATTTATTAGTTATGATTTGGCCATGTCTTGGTTTCATTTAAGCCCCTTTCCCACTGGACAAAAAACCCACTAACATCTGGCTTTTGTCTTCAGAGAGACAATCGGTATTCATTTCCGGGACAAATCACTCTGCAGTGGTCATGGGTTTTTATTTTCTCCAGCTCCAATCAGCAGTGATGGAAACATGGCACAGGGGTGGACATGCTAATTTTTGTCCCTTTTCCACAGTGGCTTTCCCAGAATTTTTTCACAGGGGTGGCCAGATTGGGCCACTGAAAATGTTGGGATTTTACACCAAATCAAAACAGAATTTTTGGAATTCTAGTATGCTGTTGAAGTATCTTATCTTTAATTTAAAGGAGAACATTGATTGTATGGAACAAAACATTTACTGGTAAAGTTTAGGGGAGACTTGTGGGTACTTAGAGAACCCATTTTCATTCAGATATCTTGAGGTGAGAGTTCAAGGGACCTCTTTGAAAATGGCCATACCATTTGTTCCATCGCCAAGATTTTGCCCTAAGCCCTGTTCCCACCAAACACTGTTGGTATGGTACCTGTGGAACCAAAAGTAACCCTTCAGACATGGTACCTAGATCCCAGGTCTGCTTAGCGTTTCCACCGCAAACAGTACCCTTTCATCTGGGCGGGGTTGTTGTCACTCACTGCTCCGTCCAACACTCACTGTACTTTATCAGTCTGCACCTCGTTTATCGTCCACAGAAGGAGGTTGCGCGCCAACATTTTCATCACTAAATAGAACAGGCTGGAATGAGAGTCTCTCTCGATGGGAGATTTAAAAAATAGTGGGTTTGTGCATTTAGTTCTTTTCAGGCAAGCTCAGGGGTTTAGGGTTACTGGAGCCACTCAGTGACGATTTGTTTTTTTTTCTCCAAGTGAGGACTGGGTAGGAGGATTGAGATTGATATATGCAGTCCAAATAATCAATTAGTCAAAATTAAAAAAAAAAAGTAAACGCTTGAAGATCCACTCAATACTAAAAGTGTATGTCATCCAAGGGAGACAACAAACAGTAATTAACATCTGTGTGCTAGGTACCCCAACAGAGGGGTGACCAAAAATGGGGACAGTATGGAACGGTTCCATTGGTACCATCCACAACTTTTCACAGTGGAAATGGAAAAAAAGCGTACCAAACTGAACTGAACCGAACTGTAGCCTACTGCTTGGTGGAAACGGGGCTATAGAATGTTATTAGCCTCCTTCTCAACAAGCTATGCTGACATGGTTGGCACAAACATGAGACACAAGATACCTACCTTCTCTTAAACCTTAGCATAGAAAATGAGCACACCCCAAGGACAGTAATGTCAATTACCTATAATGTTTTTTAACAGCAGCAATTGTATCAAGGGGGCCATAGCCCCCCCCGCCTACCCCACCTGGGGGTACCACTGCTTTTTCAGTGCCACCATCCATAACTTGTGCAACTCTTGGTCATCTCAGCCAAAAAGTCCATCCATCTCAGTCCAAACAGCACTTAAACGTCATTCCAAATTAGTTGGCACTGAGTTTGAAAAAGAGACTGAATAAGTAACAAATATAAAAAGAAGTAACCACTGTAACATTTTAACTGGCTTCTATGGGGTGAACTCTTCCCACATCAGTTACAGATTTTTTCTGAATTTTCTAAGAAAATTTAACCTGACCAGAATTTATCATTAACAAATTCATCATCATAATATTTTCTTTTTGTTTTCAAACACTGTCCCTGGCATCTCGTATGTGTCCTCCTATCTTCTTCAAAAACCTCCAGGAATCAAGGATTTTTTTTTAAGTTAATGATTTTTTTAGTAACCTTTGAGAGGTGATGAGCAAAGTTGTAGTTGTCCGCATTTTGCAACAACACGAACAAAGCACATGGCTGTGTTTACCGTCCCTCCCCCCACTCCACACCCCCACACACACATAGCAATCCTGTGTGCTTCACAAGTGATGTAGGGTAATGTGCACGGTGGACAGAGATTAGGGTCATGGTGCAGACGTTGCATCCCCTGATTCCCTCCAAGTCTGCGTCCCTGTGGGCTCAACAAGCAGACATCTCTCTATGTTTCCCCTCTCTTAACTCAACCTGACCTGGTCAGCTCATGTTGATCCTTTGAATTGACAGGAAACTCACAATATGAAAGGGAATATCAAAGGGCAGCAAAGGGCATCGGTCCAAAGCCTTCCAATGAAAAACACTTCCACATTAATCTATATTAAACCTAAAGGGGTTATGGAGGGCATGATTTAAGTTCCCCCTAACCCACCCACTCTCCCCACCTCCCTCTAACCTTCCCCAGTCCAGTCTCTGGGATAAACGTCAAACAGCGACCTTTGATGCGGCATGTGTTTGTGGGTAAACATTAGCAGTCTGGGGGACTGTCAACATGCACTTCCAGAAAGAACATCTTGTTGGATTGCACAGAGCATGCTGGGACTGGGCAAGAGGGTGCAGTGATCTTTCCCTCTGATGTATGGAAACAAAATAGGGTCAAAATGATTGTGGCTGTGTATCACCTTATCTGAATGTGTGAAAACATTTTGTATGAATACATTCAAAATGGAAACCATTTGTGCAAATCTTTATCCATCTATACACAAAATGTCATGCACAGCTACAGATCTGCTAACAGATTTAATTTTCGAATCTGTTAGGAGATCTGTAGCTGTGCATGACATTTTGTGT